TACTTCCAAATAAATATATAGTAAATTCTAGGCCAGAGGTTTCTGTTAGTGGACTTCAGACCCATAGGGGTGGCAAGAGGTAAGTGGCTGAGTCGTTACTGCAAAAGGCAGTGGGTTAATATATTCATTAAATATTGTCTGAAGGGACGTTAATTTTCCATATATGTGTCCTGCTATTTTCCAAGTGTGTGAAGATGTTCTGATTAATAAAATGCAAATCATTTAAAAGTGCCCTTCATAGTAACTCTAAATCATCCTTCTCTGTTTCAGAGTATAAACAGTGAAAGCAGTTATTATGTTTTTAATGTTCAAAAGGGAGTTCTTAAAATTCAGAGCATTGGAAACAATGTTGTCCTAGGATAACAATTGATTTCTCTAGTTAGTTTTATCACTAATGATTAATTATAATATATAATAACAAAGCCTGTAATGTGAAGCATCGTAGAGATGATGCTGTTTTGCACTTTTACCAAAAGAATTGTGCTCTGAAAATTGATCTGTAACAACATTTTCTGTACAAGCAGGGGTATTTATGGGATTTTTTTTTTTTTTTGCTAGACTGTGACCTTTTTACGGGAGGAGAATAGATCTTATCATTGTATTTTTAGGGAGGGTAAAGAGCCCCGTGCTGAAATGTTAAGTGAGTGAATGAATGAAAAAAAATGTGTGTACATTTAAGCTTCTGAACTAAAACAGTCCTAAAAATTAACTTTTACTGTTCTTCCTTTTGACAGAATCTAGAGACTTATAAATAAGTCTCTAACAAAAAAGGTTAGGAATGAGAGTAGATGTCTCTTAGTCCTGAACCATTGGAGTGGACTTCTGTGGACCAGGGCAAGGATTTTTGAAGAGCCAAGGCTTTGGAGGCTATGAGTAATGTTATTGAAGGCTCTGAGTATTTAGTTGAAGCTGTAATGAGATGGGATTTTGAGATAGTTGAACCCCTGTCCCTTTTTGTTTTGTGGAGTGGCTCCAGTTTCTTTCACCACGAGTTGTTTCTCACGCAGGGCTTTTCCTTGAGATTCTCTAGAGCTTTAGACCTTGGGGGCGATCACCAGACCAGCAGCACTAGCAGTCTTGGGAGCTTTTTAGAAATACAGACTCTCAAGCTTCACTCTGGACCTACTGAATTAGAATCTTTATTTTAACAAGATCCCCAGAAGATTCATATATTCATTATAATCGAGAAGTGCTAGTCTGGAGTATATTTCTTCTTATTGTCCTTGAAAACTTCTTATCCTTAAAAACTATTGTTCGAGCCCTGAGTTGTTGTTTTTCCAATGTCCAAAAAAAGAGTAAGACTATTTTCAGCTACTATCTTATTGTGCTGTTTAGATTTTATGAAGAATGAGAAAGATCAATCAGTTGTGTAGTGAATCTTGAGACTTAAAGTAAAAATTGCATGTGTTAGAGGGAGGAGAAAAAGAGTTACATGCTCTCCTGGATATTGTGCCACAGAAACAAAAAGAGATTGGGAATTTTGGTGTTGACCTGTGTTGACTGACTAGGAGGTGGAGTAGGAAGGCAAATTATTTACTGATAGGACATGACATCTTAAAATGCTTCCATTTCATAATAATGAGGGGCTGGACTGGCAAGGCTGTCAAGAGTAGTGGGTCAGCTGGGTGACATACCTCCTTTTGTCTTGTGTGGGGGAACCATCACGTCCTCAAGATGGCTCTAGGAAGGATGGCTAGCAGCTACGGGGAAGGGAAGAGGGGTTGTGCCAGTGTTTGCGCTGGAGGAGGAGTTTGGAGTTTTGTAGAACTCAGAAAACTAGGGGAAAATAAACATTTCCCACAAAATTTTGTTTGCCCTTTTATCTCCTGATCTTCATTTTACTTTTCCATTTCCTGTAACCTTGGCTTGCATTTAATCACCAATAGCTGTTTTTAACCCAGCAGCTCTTTCCCTGGCCAGGCTTTCACCTTCTCTTTCTGTTGCAGTTTCTCTGTTCCCATCCCTCACCTAGACCAGTGATTCTCAAATGGGCACAATTTTGTCCCCCTACTCCCACAGGCCGTCAAAGTTACTTTTGGTTGTCACAAACACGGCAGATGCTGCCATACATCTCACAGTGGCCCGGGACAGCCCTCCACAGCAAAGGTTTATCCAAAGTCTGTAGTACTGAGGTTGAGAAACCCTAACCTGAATTATTGCCAGAGTCCATTAATTGGTCTACTTGTCTCCAGTTTAATTGTCATTCACAGGCTTTAAAGAGTTTCCCATAGCCGGCAGAATGCAGTCCAAACTCCTTGGCATAGGATGTAAAACAATTCATGGTGTTCTGTTGCTTTCAAGCCTCATCTCTTGGTTGGCCCTCTACTAATGGTAGACTGAGTACTTGTAGCTTTCCCTTAACCACACAGTGCCTGTGTGCCTGTACACACACGTTTTCCCTTGTCTGCAATACATAATCCCCGTGTCCTGCCTTTTTTTTTTTTCCCCCTGTCTAGGTACACTCACTCCTCCTTCAACACTGCTCAGGTATTTGCGTTCTCTGATAAGGCTTCTTTGCCTCTCTTCTATTTGTGTTTTGATTATATACACATTTATTATATCACAATGAGTGTGACCTGCTTGCGTGACTTTGTTGACTACTAGATTATGTCCTCTTTTTGAGGGAAAGGTGTGTGTTTTATCTGTCATTGTATTCCAGGTACTTAGAACAGTTCTTGATACAAAGTAGACTCTCCAATGTTTAGTCGAAAATACATTTTTCCTTCAAGGTATAAATAATAGTTCATGTAATTTGGAAATTAGCTTATAGATGAGATTTTACTGTAATTTACATGTGATCTTTTTTGCCTCACCAGTCATTCTTTGTATTACTGCCCTCTCTTCACATGTCATTTATCGTCTGTTGCTTATAATGGTACTTACATGGTATTGATACCCTAGGCGTTTTCATTCACTATCAGATAGAAGGTTTTACTTCTTGTTTAGACTTTAATCTCTGGCTATTTATTGAAGAAGCTCAAATCTGTAATGATACAAGTTTGGGGATCTCCTACCTAGGAGGAAAGGACTTTGGCTAATTACTGGTTTTAGAGGGGATGGGGTGGAGGGAGAGGAATAATGAATTCCTCTTTGGAAAAAACAAGAAACATATAATAAAAGTTGTTGGGGAGGGAGAATTACACATTGGTTTTATTTAAACCCTTTTTTCTATGTTGCTTAATGCACTCCTATAAGAAAATAAATTTCATTAATTGTAATAATCAGGTCAAAAGCAAGTCTGGATTTGTGATGGATCTAAATGACTGGAAAACATTTAAAGCAGTAATTTTATTGCTTTCAAATATATGACTGGAATTGAGGTGTCCTTATATAGATCCTATTTCACAGATTGTGACTTTGTTTAAATAAGTATTTGATTTGTTGAGCTTTTGGTAGGATAATCTTTAGTCCAGACATTTTCTAAAATATAAATTTTAAATTAGTGAAGACTTAATGAAGGCTACATTATTTTTGCTGTATGTCAAAGCCTTATAGTTGTGAACTAAGTTATTAAAAATAGATTGCTTTAAAATTCTTTGTTTTTTTAATTTAATTTTTTAATTGAAGTATAGTCAGTTTATAGTGTGTGTAAATTTCTGGTGTATAGCATAATAGTTCAGTCAAAATTCTTTCATTTATAATATGGTTCTGAAGGGTGTATTTTTATTCTCATTCGCAAAAGTTACTTGTGATGTAGATGTAGAGAGCAGTTGGTTCAAGATTGTACGGAGGTGGACATGTTTTAGCCACATGAAACGTACTAAGAGCTGTAATTACTGGGAAGGTAGGTAGTCTAGTTGCCTTTATTATTCAATTTTAATTTTTTTCCCCCTCCTTAAATCAAATACAGCATAGCAGAGGCCCATTTGTGGAGTGGAGAATCTAATTTACATAGAATAATTTCCATAGGCGTTATTTTCAGTATCATTTTGAAATTTAGGAATCAGGTGTTTTCAAATTGGTTGTCTTTGTACTGGAAAATTATTTTTCTTATATATTTTATATAATTGACACCTGAAGAAAGTTAATTTTAACTGTTTGCTTCAGCAATCTTACAGCGGAACAATGAGTAATACAGATTTTCTTATTTCAGGTCTTAAGTTAGATAACTTCCCAAGAATGTGTCAGTATTCCTTAAAGGGAAAAAAAATATACAAATTCCTTTAAGGTGCAATTTTGTTCAAATTTGCTATAAAAAAGAGAAGTAAGACAGTGGAAACTATCATTAACTTTGACATGTAAAAAAGCCCTGCCAACCACTATTAAGATTGTTTACTAACTTTATTATAATATTAGCCAATGAATCTATGCTTTTATTGGAGAATTTATTTAATTAATATCGGATGGTTCAAATTACTGAATTTGGAAGACCAATGAAATTTGTGTATTTTTTTTTTAAGTCTGAGATTATTTCTTTTCATTGAGTACCTTAAGTTGAATGCCGACTTTAGATTGATTTGTAGTCTGCTCTAATGTGCATAGAATTTTAAAAATGAAAAAAATCCATTCCTTAGGAATTAGCTTCCTTTTTTAAGCAGAGTAGTTCTCAGGAAATAAGGTAGTGAGATGGAGAGCAGAAAAACATAAGGTCTGAGGAATTTTTTTACGTGTATTTTGTTCCCTTGAAGCCATTTCTTCATATTGCAGTGAGAATAGGTAAGTGCCAGTGGGAAATATTTTGCAAAGCATTTACTTTGCTGATAAATTAATTTTCTATTCATTAAAGTCTTATAAAACTAGATTATATTTCATGAAAACATCTGTTGCTTTATGTAATATTGTTTTTCAGCCTGTTAGGACTGTGGGTTGTTTTGGAGGTGTGTATTGGGAGTGGGGGTGGGAAGTGATGGGTGGTGATAAGGACATTAGAGGGAATGTCTATAAATTTTCCTTGTTTCCTATTCCACCATTCCTGATACCTTCTGTATGTTAGTTATGTTAGTTTAGATTAGTGTGGGGGATGTTAGGAGTGGCCTGGTTTCTTTCCTTCTTTTTCCTAGCCAAGGAAGTATCGCCTGGGGATGCTGGAGGAGAGGCTAGTTCCGATGGGATCAAAGGCACGAAAAGCAAAGAACCCTATCGGCTGCCTTGCTGACAGGTGTAAATCAGGAGTACCCATCAATATGGTTTGGTGGAACAGAGTCACAGAAAACAATTTACAGGTAAAAATAATTTTATTAGACATTTTTGAAAGTGAATATTTTGGCTGCTTTCTCTGTGGGGGTGGGGGGGATGGCTTAGCTGATACACTTAGGTGATTTAAAATTTTTTTTTATTTTTAATTTTTATCAAAGTAAGGTTAGTGACCCATTAACTAAATGATTTTATTTGGTGGCTTCTTGAGTGTTCTCTGTTTATAGTATATTTTCCTTTTGTTTTATTAAATATAGTTTTCCTTCTTTGGATTTTGTTAACAGTTAATTTTAATTATTTTTAACACACAAAGCTTTCCAGGGTACTACATTAAAAAATCATTATGTAAAATTTATTACAGAAAATCTAATTTATTTGGAATCTGAACAATAGGAAGCTCCATATATTGTCTTTTTGTACATTTTTACTAGGAAATAAAAATTGTATGTAAAGAAACTTGTCAAGTGTTGGCTCTAAAACCAACTTTAATGGTATGTTGCCAAAGAGTTATTACAGATACATTTCAGTCTTTGCATTGTCAGTGCTAATGAAAATGAATTTTTGTAACTCATAGGCTAGCTTTTGTATAACACTGAATCTGAAGTAACTACAAAATAATCTGTTATATTCCATTTGAATTTGAATTATAGTTATTCTCATATAAAGAATTTGGTAATTGTATAATACAGATAGCTCTATTAATCAAAATTTCAGTTTAACTAGAAGTAGAATATCTTTCCTCCCAAACTTTGAGTAAATTATCATTTTTAATATATTGCTAGCCAAAAGCCTATATATAATCCCACATACACATACCACACACAGAAAAGATGGAACAAAGTTAAAAAATTGGTTCTATTTCTGTTACCAACCTTGTATTATAAAGGGTTCCACAGTATTTTGGTCTGTTTAGTATTATTGCCATATCAGTATCTGTGTTGCCTTGGGCACAGAAATAAAGAAGTTATTCCAAAACTATTGCAAAACATGGTATTTGTCCCAACTGAAATTTTGGTAGTATTTTTCTAAATATAAGGAAAAACAGGGAAATGGGAGTCCACATGATCAAAGACTTAAAATTTCAATGGAAAGTTTTGGACATGTCAATTATAACTAGTAATATAGCTTACTGAATTTTTATTTTTGGAATCAGGAGAGAGATTTGATGTGAATTGTTAGAATTATTTTTCAGTTTTAAAAAGAAAGTCCGAAAATAAATTGGGCCCTGATTATGTAAGAACAGATCCTAGTGGAACTGGAGCTGCTTGTCGGTTGTGGGGTGAAGCACTGACCGTGCAGAGGGCTAGCCCCTTGACCTCCCCCAACTTGTATCTCTTATCTCAGTGTCCGTTTGAGGTGCTTCTTTTTATCACAACTTGAAAAATCATTAGGTTAGTTTAATAATATATGCTGGAATTATGCTTTAGTTTTAATTTTTAAAAAGCTAGATATGCATTCAGTGTGCTAAAGATTGAATTGGTGGTATCTGAATCTAATATTTCAAATACTAATACTATTTTGTGCTTCACATATATATGTATATTTTTAAGGATATGAAGAATGCCTTATTAGTTTGCTCTAATACTGGAAGAGCAGTAATACCTTACACTATCTGTTGAAGTTGAAAAATACCCACCTGGTGTCCATTATTGTCCTTGTGGATTCCTGAATTGGGCACCTGGTATTGTTTATGCAGAGCAAAGAGCATATCAGTACACTTTTTTTCTTTTGGGGTTTCTATCTTTTTGTTCTATAAGAGAAATGATTTATATAAATAAATTCTGCACTAATTCTTTTTAATTTTTTGCATATAAAACTTTTAAAGGATTGTGTAGTCAGGCATATTAATCTTTCCTTTTTCTATTGTTTCCTTTCCTTTAAAGCTTAGGTCTTCTCAATTCTAAGGTCAGAGAAATATTTATCTGTTTTATTTTAGTGATATATAGCTGTATTTCTTTTAAATTGTTACCTTGTGCCAGGCACTGTGCTAAGCTCTTTATGTATTTTGTGTCTTTTGGTCTTCCAAATAGCTTATGGGACAAATTTTATTGTTAAATGAAAAAGTGTCTGCAGAGAAGCTAAGTAACGTTAGGATGAAACGGTAGTCGGTAGAGGAGCCGAAATTTGAATCTACTTTTGTCAGGCTTCAGAATCTCTTCACTTCTTGTAACATGGCTCTGACTGTATTATTGTGATAATTGGCTCAATTATCTAACTGGTAACTGAACTTCTATAGGACAACTTTTTTTAAGGATGAGAATGCATACTTAGTTTTCAAGACATGGACTGTAACTTATGCATAACTCTACAGTATTTATGAGGCCAGTCTTTTTCCCTCGTGATCCATTTTTTTTTTCTCAGTGACATTTCTTTCTAGAAATTTAAACATTTCTTTACACTGATTTCTTAATCTTGTCCTGACATCTTTTTGGAAAACAAATTTTGGAAACAGAAGTTTTTCCACTTCTGAAAACAAAAGAAAACTAACCAAACAACTAACACAAATCTTAAAACAAATACAACAATAACAAAAACTTTCTTTGAAAATTTCTACCTGAATCATTTGTAAGTGCATTTATTTGCTTCAGTGCCAGATTTCTTTCAAGAGCCCTATGATTCCCACCTAGTGCTTAATAATCTTTTATTTATTTTCTACCAAGAATCTCATGATATGGAATAGTCTGTCTCCTGAACTCATGACAATTGTAAAACAGTCATGCATGCTTTCATTCTAAAAAAATATATGTATATAATATGCTAATCAGAAAATAAAAGAAACTTAATATTTTCCTTATATTGTACAGGTAGGTTGGTGGAGTCTAAATTTATTTTTCATATGGCTATTGGAGATACTGATAGGGCCCATCTGGCCTCCTTTACTGCTTTTGTGGAGTTCCCTCCTAGGGAGTCTTGAAATGGATTCTATTCTTTTCTCTGCTTTCTTTACAACCCATTTTTTCCTTCAATGCTTGCAGTTTGGTGTTGTCAAAATTTTGCTGAAACTGCTCTCAAAGTTTATCAGAGATCTCCTTAATCAACAGACCCAGCAGTTCGCTCCAATACTTAGTACTGCTGGCTGCCTTTTTATTTGAAACTCTTTCCTGTGTGCATTCTTGACTCTATTTCATCCCTGGCTTCTTGTGAGCTTCTATCCTTGACTCACTTCTTCTTTGCTTTCCCTTGTATGCCTAAAGTCTTAAATTTTTATTTCTATTAGAAGTGTGTTCTGAGTTCAAGACCCAAATCTTTCATGCCTCCTCGTATCCTTGCATGTAGATACAGATCCCTCTGTCACTGCAGATTTGGCATGTCTGAAACAGTGTGTGTTTTCTGTTCTCCAGATACACTGCTATTTTTTATATTCTCTTACGTTCCTTCTTCAGTTAATGGCTTTATCATCTTCCCAGTTACTGAGACTACATATCTTCACTTCTTCCCTGTTATCACCCACATTCCACCATTTATTATGAGAAGGAAATTACTGAGGTTTGACTGCCCATTAATTGAAAGATGATGCATTGGGCAGCTTACATTTACCATCATATTAAAGCCTTACCACAATGATGACATATTATCCCCATTTGACAAATGTGGAAATTGCAATTTAGAAAAGGCTTATTCTTAGTAAGTGATACAGATGGGATTCCAGCCCAGATGTATTAAATTTTAGTCCTGAGATTTCCTACTGTATCTTCTGCCTCCAATCCCCATTCCTTAAAATTCTGCAGTATCTTTTTCTTCTTTCCTTTTTTTAATACAACTGACATAGAATATACCCTAAGTGTATTTTCTGAATAATTTTTGTCAAATCCCTTCAGGGTCTGTTCTGCCTTTTAGGGCTGTCTCTTTTTAACTGTCTGAACATACTAAATTCTAATCATATGGAATCTTTCATACCTTATATGATATGAAATGCACTGTCAGTTCTCAGTACCTTTATATCTCTGTACCATTGTAAATCGAGACTAAAAAAAAAATCTTTCTTCCCTTTGCCTTTGAGAGTAGCTCAAATGCTACCTTTTCTGTAAATACTTGTTCCAACACTTCAAAGAAAATTTTTTTTACTGTTTTCACAATACTTGGTGTCATTTAACTGTTTATCTCATTCTGTTTTATATTAAGTTCGTTCACCTGTTTATCTTTTCCCACTGGATTGTAAATATGTGTGACTAGGCATGTGTTGTTTATTTTTGTACCCTTAAGGTATTTTGCTTATCTCTGAATGTTGTTTAATTTTCTTTTCTTAGGCAGTATGTGAAATTTGTGGTAATTTACTTTAAGTATTTGTATATTTTGAAAAGTTGATCATAGGTTTTTTGGGATTTATAGCCACCATATATTATTATTGTGTAGTTTTATTATCATATATGATTTAGAATATAGGGTGGTGATTTCTTTTGAAAGATTAACGGATCTTTTTTTTTTTCATTTTTTGTTTTGTTTTTTTAAAGTCAAAATTTAACGTTTTCCCAGTGAGACCAGCCTAGGTTCTTGGACTCTTTCATCAATAGAAATTGGTAAGAGGCCAGACGAGAAATTCAGGCAAGGCTTTATGGGGGCTCATGCTGTAGCACAAAGGAGCAAAAACAAGTAACAGGTGCCCTTCTTTGCTCCCCAGAGAAGGGTGTGTGTGGCAAGCTGCTTCCTTAAATGGGGTGAGCGTAGGGGCGGATCAGTGGTTCGGGCCAGAGGGTTGGCTTAGATGGTCTGCCTACCCCCTTGGTGCTGTGTGCAGGGATCATGCGCAGTACCTGCTTTTGTTACCGACACCTCAGAAGTGCCTTTTGGGTTTCTGGTCTTTTTGTATCTTGTTCATAATTGCCCCCACTGTGTGCTGTTACTTTTCGTCCCTTGTACTAAGTTTCTTTGTATTCTGTATCTTGAGGAGATGTTTGTCCAGATGCAGGCACTCCAGTAAAGGATTCCAGCCTGTCTCGCAAGTATTTTTGATTTTTAAAAAAAAAATTGTTGAAGTTTAGTTGACTTACAGTGTTTCAGGTGTACAACAGACAGATTCAGTTATACTGAT